GACGACGTACGTACGAGAGAGAGAGACGTAGTAGAGGAGGAGAGAAGAGAGAGAGAGGGACGGACGAGAGAGAGAGAGGAAGGTTAGGTAGAGAGGGAAGGTTAGAGAGAGAGAGAGAGAGGGCAGGGAAACAAGCCGTTGACAGCAGAAGATGCTTTGTCAGAGCGCTCCAACGATTCAAATTTACGAAACCCTAAACGCAAATATTGATTAAAAAAAGAGCCACAACGAACAAAGCTAAGACAATGAAGAAGAGAGAGAAAATTGAATCGCACTTTTCCCCCTCTCTCTCTCTAATTTTGCCCGTTCCCTCTCGCTGCTCTCTCTCTCTAGGAAGAATCTGCACGTTTCCCATGCACACTCTCTCTCTACACAACTCGTTTTTTCTCTCTCTAGAAATTGCACTTCGATTTTCTCACTGAAATTGCGTGTTTCCCTCTCTCTAGAAATCGCACTTTCCCTCTCATCCTCTCTCTCAAATTGTACACTTTCCTCTCTCTAGAATCGCAACCCCTTCTCTCTCTCTTTCTCTCTAATTGCACATTGTTCCTCTGTCTTTACGTGCAGAGATACACAGAGCAAAAGAATAAACAAACGAAGAAAGAAGAGAGAGAAAACGTCTTGGGCGGCCTCCCTCTCTCTCTCTACCTACACTCTCTCTGTACAGTTCCAAACCTTCTTCTTCCCTCCCATTTCAAACCCGCCATTATTACTTTCAAATCTGAACCCACTCTCTAATTCTAGATCCCTTTTTTCCTTTTCTTCCATGCTTGAACCCATGACGTTTCTCTCTCTAAGCTCACCACACATTGTTCTCAGATCTATGGAGGTTGCCCAATTGATCGATCACAATCTGTAGAAGAACCCAGTCAAAGAAAAGACCTACTTTAAAGACAGTCCTTTCTCATAATAATGGTTAGAGGTTCTTTTCTTTTTTGTTTGGTCTTTTAATCTATATTCTGTTATTTTTCTTCCTCTGCAACATCCCCCTTTTTTTTTTCTTTGAGAAACCATTGATCAGTAATGTTTCATAGCTTTTTTTCTACATTCAGCAGAATGGGCGGGAAACCACATTTCAATTTATTTATCTCTTTCTAAATTGTGTGTTTCGGTTCTTTTTCTTTATTTTTTTAATTGTTAGGTTTGGATGAACAAGACTTCACAGTCGAGGAACAAATTGATAAAGCCCCATTCAGGTTGTTTGATTTTTCATGGAGGTGCCACATTCAAATCTCAGTTTCTTCTTTGATTTTTTTTTTTTTGGGACTACCCGATTATAGGCACTTGCCAATGTATACAGTACTGTCCATTCTTATCTTATTTAGGTGTGTTTTTCATTTTTCAGTGGGTGTATTAGTTTTCCTCCCATTCTCTTGCTTAACCATTCTCTTCCCCTCTCTCTTTCATGTTATCTGTTCAGATTGGGTTTTTGTTTATTTTTTAACCAGTTGGATGCTAGGGAAATTCTTAATTCAGTTAATTTGTAATGAATAAAGACCATCCTATTAGTTAATGAAAATCTGGTGGCTTGAACTAGGACTTGGCAGGCTGCTTTGGTTGGAGCCAGACCCATGAGAACCTGCCAGGTTTTGTTATTATCATTAGTAGACTCGCCAGTCTGTTTGATATGACTCGGGTTCAGGACCCTAGCGAGTCTCACCCATGTCCTCCTTTTAAACCACTGGTCCTGTCATCCTAGTTATCAATCTTTGTTATCGGCAACTCTCTCTGTCTATCTACCTATCAATCTCTCTGTTTTTTTTGTGTGTGTGTGTGTTTCTTATCTATCTGTTCTTTCATGCTTGTGTATGTTTCTTTTTATTCTCAAATGGGGTCTTATTTAGGCCTTATAATTTAATTGAAGACTTATCGTTTTCTTAAATCCGATCCGTAGTAAGAAAAGCCATGATTCATTTTAGTAATTTTTTTTAATATGGTTTATATGGGTTGATTTCTACCATCTGATTTTGGAGACTTTTGAGATAGTATTTAGGCCAATTCTTGGATAAGATAACTCGAATTTTTTTTTTTTTCTGCCAATGCTATTCAGAAGCCATTTCTAAGAATCCTTGATGATTTACTATTTCAATTACTATGATTATTTAGTACCCAATCACTCTTTGCCATTTTTGTTTTTGGCTTTTCTTTGAGTAGGAAACAATGCATGCATGGGTTTCATTCGATCAACCTGCAGAGTTTTAATATTTGTATAAATGAAACCAGTATGACACATAGATTTATAAGAATGATACATATGTTGCCCAATTTATTTACTGAAGCTCAATTCGCCATTAATATATTTCCTAAATCACATTTTCTTCTATATCTTTTTATACCTTCAGTTTTCAGTTTCCTTTCCTCAGTTGTAGATGACTAGTATTTAGTACAATTTAGTATGCTTGAGTTACTAAACGTAGTTTCTTACTGTTTCAGCTGAAGGCTGTCTTTGTGAATCCTCTGGTGAAACTGCCACCATTTCCACCCTCGATAAAAAAGCAATCCATGATCATCGAAGTTTCAATGAAAGAGGAGAATATTTAAAAGAAATGGAAATCTCAGAACCAAGTTCGGTTACCACACAAGAACCCATAAAAGAAGGAATCCAACGAGTTGCTATTGCACAATGTAATCTCAGGAAAGTTGGCCAAGAGACCAATGGAGAAAGTTCATTGACTTTGGATTTGAAGAATAAAGGCAATGCTTCTCAAATTGTTGAAGATGAGTTTCAAGAGATAACCCCAGGGAAAAATGGTCTTTGCCTTTTAGGAGTTGCTGCTTGTTTGACTCTTGGGAATGGGGGAATTCTTCAAGAAATTAAGGACTCGGATAAGCAATCTCATTATCAGATGAAGTTAACCAATTCTTCTGATTTACCACCCTTAAATACTGATGCAGAAAAATCTACTCTGACTGTTTTGGATAAGATTCCTGAATCAAATTCAAGAAGTTGTCAACAAGAGTTTCGAAGTCTTTCTTTGGGCCTTCCACCCAAGATCCCAAATGTAGAACCAGTAAATCATTTTAGGCCGAGAGAAACATTTGACCATTTGAAAGGTCTAAACCATGAAAAGCTCAAAGACACATTTGACACAGAGTCGAGGGTTTCAGGGTGTGGGAGCTCTAAAGATCCCATTGAGAGGTGGCAGGCTCTGAAGCAGAATTCTAACCTTCTTTATTGTAACCGTGCTTCTATCTCTAGAAGGGCTTCATCAAATACTCGCCCCCATTCAAAGAAGGCAAAAAATGATGCATTTAAGCAACGACTAGAGCTTGCAAAGAAGGAACAGACAAATAGGTTTGCAAAGATAGCAGCCCCTAGTGGGCTTCTCTCTGGTCTCAATCCTGGGATAATAAACCATGTGAGGAACAGCAAACAGGTCCATTCCATAATTGAGGCAATGGTTAAGTCAGAGAAGGGCACCCATTTGCAAGGAGGAAACAGTGAGGTAAAGTCTAGCGAGAGAAAATGTAAATACCACGGGTTATTTTGTGATCAGGGAGTTGCAAGGCTCGACATGTCTGAAAATTCATCCATTACAAAGGGTGATGAACATACCCATGAATTGTTTGGGAGCAAAAGAACAGAAGACTGGGTTAATACTTGTGGGTTCTCAAGGGGTATAAATGATATGCATGCGTCATGGATAGAAGAGAAGCACCGTGCTGAAGGTTCTATTAAATCACAACCCCAAGAACGAGAAAGAAAACCACACTTCATGGATTTTCGACCAAACCTGTCTGTGTTGATGGAAAACACACGCTCTATGAAGGAATTCAGCACAAACCATGATAGCATAATTACTCTGTCTGTGAAAGGTCTGTATTCTGAGGCTTGATTCTGCATATGCTTTTTTTTGCATTCTTGATTGTTTGCTATAGACAGGCCCTGTTGAAAGGGAAAGAATACTCATGCATTGTGAAAATCAACGAAACAGTGGATGATGGAAGGTCAAAAGACTGGAACTTCGGATAAAATCCTGTTTTGGTGGGTCATCCATTATTTCATTGGATGGTCATGACCCTAATGGACAATGATTTTCCATAGTAATAATGTATCTTCCATATGTGAAAGTGTTCTTAAATGCTTGAGCTTGGTTTTCCCTCTATGTTATACTATTTTAGAATACTTAAAAGAAGAAAAATGCATAAATATTATCTATTTAATGTGGTTGATGAGAATAATCAGAGAAACAAGCAGAGATAGTTAAGACTGATGCGCAGGAATGTTTATTTGCAGCTGCTATGGTGGCTTCCCATTGGTTGGAGCTGCTTAGCATGGACATTTGTGGACGCCTTGCAGGTATAATTATCTGTTCCATTTGAAAAACTGTTTGTAGTTTATGCTTATTCTCATGGTGAAGGTAACTTTGTTCTATCTTCACGGTGTATTCTAAAAACTGTTTCTCATTCTTTAGGATAAGTGGCTATAATTAAATCATGGTTCATCACTGTCCATTGAAGTCATGAATGGTGGTGGATAGAGAGTGGGACCCAACGGAATAAGATATGATGCAAACTCGTTGTTCTCACTGAACCATTATCCATCTTGTCATTGGATGCCCTTGACATAAAGAATTACTGTTTCTCCATGCCAATAGGATTATAGTATACTTTAGCTATTCTTTATTGCGATTAATGATTCTTAACTGCAACTTAGTAAAGGGTGGTTAGCTATTCTTTATTGCGATTAATGATTCATGGTACTTCACTGCAACTTAGTAAGGGTGGAAACAGTGGAAAGAAATTTTAATAACGTAATCTAAGTTTTATGCACTTGTTTGTAACTGCAGCTCTGAAACGCAGCAAGATGAGAGTGAGGGATGCTATCCAAATGTTGCCTTCTATATTGCCCGGAGACATAAGCATGGCAAACCAGGGTACACCAGATCCACATTATGTGAGGTGGAGGTCTCTTTTTGATCAAATGGACAATGACCTTTCCGAGGAAGAAAGAAGCCTTGTAAGTTTGTCACATCCTATGCTACTCTTTGTTCCATCAATAATCACCGTATCTTTCATTTGTCTCAAACTTGCTTGTTCTTTCCAGTATGCGTACATAATGATTATGTCGAATTATGTCTTTTTGAGAAATCTAACTGTTCAGCAGTGTCTGGAAATTCTATGAATGTCTAAAAGGACTTCGATTCATTGTCCCTTGTTGTTTATTTGTGCAATTTGTACCATCTCTCTCTTTCCTAACATTGCTAATTTCTAAATTATAAATGCCGCACTGGCTGGGCACTTTGTGTATGTATGTGTGTACTATGTGTGTGCTCTCCTTCCCAACATTAACTTTTATAAACTCAAGTATGCTATCAATAATAAATTATAAACACCACATAGCCTGGACTTGTGTGTGTGTGTGTGTATGTGTGTGTGTTTGTGTATATTTCTATAAGCGCATTGGCCAAAACACGCAGTTAGAGGGATTTCTTTAGGCGGAAATTTTTCACATCTTTCATATGAAAAATAAACAATTTATAAAAAAAAATGATTTTGAGTTCTTGAAGGTTAACATTCACTAAAAATGGCAAACTGATTCCCCCCTTCTCTTTGCACTAAATGTTATATTTATTTTACTTAGATCTCCTAGATGAGAATATTGTGTTCAAAGTTTGGGGTCTAACAATCCCCTCTAGTTCAAAATGGCTTATGCTACAGAATAGGTACATTTTTTCCGCACTTATATTTATACTGTACATAATATAATATGCATTTAATGACAATGATATTCAAACTACAGGAGACCAATCAATATAAATATTAAAATTAGATGAGATGTACATTATTGTGAAATAATATCAATGCTAACAAATTAATCATGTATCCATTTGGTGTTAATTATTGACTTTCTTATTTGTCCACAAGGTTACATAAAATTGCTGACTTCACACAGTCGAGGAGCTAATTGATTTGGTTTAGCAGGATCTAGGTTTTCATTTGTAAGAACACAAGGCACAAAAGTCATCATCTTCAATGCCTTTTCCCAACTAATTGGGGTTGGCTAACATGTGGCACATAAGTGTCTAACAAAATTAAAATCTTGTAAAGTTTGTGAGTTTCTTGATTTGAAACTCTTAAACTGAGTACTTTTTTCCTTTGTAATACTTCTTTAATCCATTTGTTAGACATGGAAATACATAATATTTTCTTTAAATCAATGTCGAATGCTGCAACAAGCATTTCCCTCTTGAGTTGTTCTAGTTGTTCGGATTATCCTTGTAGTTTTCAACAGGTCTGGGTTCCAATTAAAGGGAAAGTATACTATTACATGGACCCTAAAAACAGTAATATAATAATATATAGGGGTCAACACTGATCAATGTGATGGTTGAAGGTGATGAAGAGAGTGAGACTGAACTTTGGATTGTCCTGTTCTTGTGAGTCCTCCTCCATCACCATTCATCTCATGGAATGCTGATGACCCCAATGGACTATGGTTTTTAATATTCCATTGATTCATAATTTATTTTCCCTTTGACAAAGCGACAAGATGGAAGAAAAGAAAAAGGTGATTTTGATAGTGCTAGAAACTCATTTCAGGAGAGCTGGCTGAGGCAGGTCAAAGAAATGCAATCGCATTGTGAACTTGGCCTGCTGTGCATGGATAAAGAAGGCTTAGATGGTCGGAAAAGGCCAAGGCT